CCCTCCTCCAGACATGTCCAAACCACTGTCCCTCCTCTGGACATGTCAAAACCACTGTCCCTCCTCTGGACATGTCCAAACCATCTCAGTGTGTCCTCTCTAACTTTATCTCCCAGTTGTTCAACCTGTGCTGTACCTCTGATGATCTCATTCCTGATCTTCTCCATCCTTGTCTCTCCTAAGGAGAACCTCAACATCTTCATTTCTGCCACTTCCAGTTCTGTCTCCTGTCTTTTTGTCCATGTCTCTGTCTCCAGGCCATACAACATAGCTGGTCTCACCACTGTCTTGTAAACTTTTCCTTTGACCTTTGCTGACACCCTTTTGTCACAAATCACTCCTGAAACTTTTCTCCATCACTCCATCCTGCCTGGACTCTCTTCTTCACCTCTTCACCACACTCCCCATGTTCCTGGACAGTGGACCCCAAGTCCTTGAAGTCCTGCACCTTTGTGACCTCTGCTCCTTGTAGCCTCACTGTTCCACCTCCTCCCTCTCATTCACACACATGGACTCTGTCTTACTACGACTGACTTTCATTCCTCTTCTTTCAAGTGCATACCTCCACCTCTCCAAGTTTTCTTCCACCTGTTCCCTGTTCTCACCACAGATCACAATGTCATCTGTAAACATCATAGTCCACGGGAATTCTTGCCTGACCTCGTCTGTTAGTCGGTCCATCACCAGAGCAAACAAGAAGGGGCTCATGTTCTCATACATGTCCTGTATCAGTCTAACATACTTTTCTTCCACTCCAGATTTCCTCATGTAACACCACTCCTCCTCCCTCTGCACCCTGTCAGATGTTTTTTCAAAATCCACAAAGACACAGTGGAGTTCTTTCTGACCCTCTCTGTACTTCTCCATCATCATTCTCAAATCAAAGATGGATCTGTGGTGCTCTTTCTTGACATGAAACCATCCTGCTGCTCACAGATAGTCACCTCTCGTCTAAGTCTAGCTTCCACAACTCTTTCCCAGATCTTCATTGTGTGGCTCATCAACTTAATTCCCCTGTAGTTGCTACAACTCTGTACATGACCCTTGTTCTTAAAAATGGCCACCAGCACTTCTTCTCCATTCCTCAGGCATTTTCTCACCTTGAAATATGTCATTGAATATTTGAGTCAAAAACCTCACTGCCATCTCTCCAAGACATTTCCAAACCTCCACTTGTCATCAGGTCCTACTGCCTTCCCCTTCTTCATTCTTTTCAGAGCTTTCTGGACTTCACCCTCACTAATCTTTCCCACTTCCTGGTCCACAGTTTCTATGACCTCTACTCTTCTTTCTCTTTTATTCTCTTCATTCATTAGCTCCTCAAAGTACTCCTTCCATCTTCCCATCACACTCTCCTCACTTGTTAGAACATTACCATTCCTATCTTTAATAAGCCTAACCTGCTGCACATCCTTTCCAGCCTGATCCCTCTGTCTTGCCAATCGGTACAAGTCCTTCTCACCCTCTTTAGTGTCCAGTCTCCCACACAACTCATCATACATCTTCTGCTTTGTCTTAGCTACTTCCCTCTTTGCTCTACGTCCCATCTCCTTATCTTCCTGTCTCCTCTCTTCAGTCCTCTCTCTGTCATATTTCTTCTTGGCTAACCTCTTTCTTTGAACATCTTCCTGCACTTCACTATTCCACCACCAGGTTTCCTGATCATCCATTCTCTGTCCAGATGACACACCAAGTACCTTCCTACCTGTCTCTCTAATTACTGTTGCTGTAGTAGTCCAGTCATCTGGAAGCTCTTTCTTACCACCCAGAGCCTTTAACAGCTCCTCTCTGAATTTATCACAACATTCTTCCTTCTTCATCTTCCACCATTTGGTCTTCTTCTCTGATTTTACTCTTTTCCTCTTCTTCACAACAACAGTCATTCTACACACAACCATCCGATGCTGTCTGGCCACGCTCTCCCCTGCCACAATCTTACAGTCTCCAATCTCCCTCAGGTTTCCTCTTCTACACAGAATGTAGTCGACCTGCGTACTCCTTCCTCCACTCTTGTAGGTCACTCTATGCTCCTCCCTCTTTTGGAAACAGGTGTTGACTACAGCCATTTCCATTCTCTTGGTGAAATCCACCACCATCTGTCCTTCCTGGTTTCTTTCCTTGACACCAAACCTACCCACCACTTCCTCATCCTCTGTTTCCTTCACCAACATGTCCATTCAGGTCTGCTCCCATCACCACCCTCTCCTCCCTGGGAATACTCTCCACCACTTCATCCAGATCTTTACAAAATGTATCTTTCTCCTCCTCATCACACATTTACGCACGGAGGTTCTGTGCAGAGTCCTTCTCTTCGCCTCCTCTCTAAATATTGTCCCTACTCAACAGGGCTGCACTGCACTGACAAACACCGCCTCTCCTCCTCTCAGACCCCAGCCCCCCCCAACCAACAGAACACTGATCTAAGACAAAGAAAGGATGAGATACTTTTTGTCAGTTCTTGACTCATTTATTCCCATAGCTCTTATCTTGCTGCTGAATGTTCTCATGGTGCTTTCTCTACTACATTGACCTGTAACTGGTTATTTCACGCTTAACTTGAAGCTCGTGGTTGATGGTTGTGATCGTTTGCTGGAGAGGTGGAGGGTCTTAAAGCGCCACGTATCGACTGCACAGACTCTGGTCTTAAACTACAGCATGGCAGCTTCTGTAAACCGGGTCCTGCTGTCTTTGGCTCTCGTAAACAAGAGAAAACAGGGACACTTGATCTATAATCTCCCATTTGGTATGGTATGGTATGGTATGGTATAAAGTTTATACGTTTTAAAAAATACAAAAATTTCATTTTATTGACTGATTATCACAATTAAACACCGTTCTTTACAAACTGGTTGTTTTAACCAGACGCAGATTAATGACACCTCATGTTATTATTCTTGAATACATATGTTGGTGATTAAACATATGTCACTTGAACCCTTGCAGCCTCTTGTAATCTCATTAGGCTGCAAGTATTAAATGAAAGTGTAAATAAGTTAATAAGCTACAACATTTTCTTTTAATCAGATTCTCAGAACTGATGTTTTATGCAGAATGCAGCTCGCACAGCTCACGTTTCAAATGTTGCTGTCTCTGATAAAACACTTCCTCTCATTCTTACCTGTTGTTGTTCCTGAGTTTGACGTGTCCTCCGGGCTCCAGAACCTGTCCGTTCTTCAGCCAGGTGAGCTGTGGGTCGGGCTCACCCTGCGCCTGGCAGGTGAAGATGGCGGTGGTGCCGACTGGACGGGCGATGGACTGTGGAGGCTGAACAAACTCCGCTGGAGCTGAAACAGGGAGAAAACGAGACACGTCTAATTAGGCACCCCTTAATTATAACCTGGTCCTGCTGGAGGTTTCTTCCTGTTAAAGGGAGTTTTTCTTTCCACTGTCTCCACTGTGCTTGCTCAGGATGGGAGACTGCAACGAAGCCAAGATTCATCTTGTCTGCTGGATTCCTTAGATAGAGAACTTTACTAAATGGCTTTTATGTGAATGTTCCTGTAAAGTCCCTGAGACAACTTTGTTGTGATTTGGTGCTTTATAAATAAACTGAATTGAATTTAATTAAATTATTGTTGGAAAGGGAACAACTTCTTGTAAATAAAAACTTTTTACGTTGTTTTTTGGGTCACAGTGGATCAGTTGGTAGAGCTGCTGCCTCTCAACGAGAAGGTCACTGGTTCAATCACAGGCCCGGGGCCTTTCTGAGTCTAGTCTACATGTTCTCTCTGTGCTGCGTGGGTTTCCTCCCACGGACTAAAAACATGCACGTTAGACTGATTGGTAACTCTAAATTGTTCGTAGGTGAGAGAGAGAGTGAATGGTTGATGGTCTCATTTTTCTCTGTGTCCCTGTGATGGACTGGAGACCTGTCCAGGTGTCCCTGTGATGGACTG